TCTGGCGCTTTCGTGCTTGGCATCGTTGCCTTACAAGGGGTTCTCCGTTATGTATGTATTTTGGTATAAGTTCAATTTGGCCTAAGTATATATGGGAGTGTATGCATATACATACACAAACATACAAATGTTAGCTCTTTGCATTAAGAGTATTTTTGTAGAGATTAAAAACTCGGTTTTGAGTGAATGAGATGCTGCGAATCATCAGATGAGAGATAATAAGCGCTCATTTATTTGTTTGAAGATCGAGTGGCGTTTACGTAGAATGAAGGTATATGTACTATATGCGGTTGCTTGGAATAAGTATGTATATGAACATCATATTCAGCAAGTTTTTATATACGTATCTACATATGCATATGTTTATATAAAAAAAAGGTAAGTGCTGATTTCGAAAGCCTAGTATGTAGTATATAAGCGCCGTTAAAACTCTTTTAGCCATAATACGAACAAAGCAACAGCAATGAGCTATCAGAAATACATATGTACACATTATATGTATATGTATGTATGTACATGTATTTGATTGAGTGAGAAATATCGAAACGGATGCAAAAGGCCACACAGCGATTTTATTCGAACAACTCTGTTAGTTGCTCGCTTTACTTGCTTTGGCAGAATATTGGTGAGTAATATTTTGATGCAATTTCGGCAATTATTTCAAAAATTTCATTTATGACATTAACTAGATGAAGGTTTACGATTTTTAGAAGTGACTATTGGAAGCTTGGATGATTATTTGAGCAAAAAACAACGAAAAACTTAAAAAAATGCATACAATTTTGTTATAAAAAAAAATATACCCCTGCGATATCATGCAATTTTTGCAGCGTCCTTGTCATTGATTCCGGTTTCGGCACGAGTCAGTATTGGACCTTTTGGTTACACTGACTTGTTTTAATATCTTTGATGCTTCGGCGAGTCATAGGTATAAGCTTCTGCAGAGAGGCTGTTCCTAGAGGTCTAGAATGGGATTTACATACATACCCCTCAATGTAAGTCCGCAGTCTATGCAGTACTCAACAGCCGTGTTGTCTCGAAAGTCTCGAAAGAGGGCTTGTAAACTATGCGGTGAAAGCTGTAGATTATTGGGTTGTTGTTTTTGCTGTAACCGCAGAAATATTTCACAAAGTGGTTGTTTGAAGAATATTGCGGGAGAGACAGTCCTTGGCAGGATAAAAATCCTGGTCGCTCCGGTTTGAAGACCCTATTATAGGGGGAAATTCTTTATTTTCGTCGCCACTTACGACAGTTATGCCTTATATAAGTGGCGCTTTGGAACCGCCGAATCGATTGTCGACCGAGCTCCTTCTGGTTTTGCGTCTTGATATTTTTCCAAAAAAAATGAAGGGACCTACAGTTTAGACTAAGCCGCTTCCGCAGGGCTAATGGTTTTTTTACGAGGAAGCTGTATTTCATGTGTGAATTACACTCGGAGAAGTGGACATTCCCTGCCGAGGGCGACCGCAATTGGAAAATTTAACTTATTTTTTCATTTAAATTGATTTTTCATAACTTTTTCGATGTTGGTACGACACAAAGATCTGAACCCGGGCCTGCCGGATGGCATTACGCAAAGCAACGGGAAATTTCTTGAACCCCCACCCCGCAGGTGCAAACTTAGTAGATGTCGTAGTGCGTGTGTTCAAATAGCCAAAAGTTTTAGCCAAACTACCATCTAAAAACATAAAATAAAGGCAGCTGCATGAGCTCAAAGGTTAGCCGTACATACTACTATGCGGAGGGTCATAGGTACGAAGCTTTGACGAACCAAGATTATAAATCGATTATAAAGAGCCAACTGCATAGAGGAAGGCGAATTAAAAATAAGAGTCCTTTCAATTGCAGGAACAACACCGAGATGCTCATCACAAAACGGAAGAGTACCTCGGCCGAAGGTCGCCTGAGCGGCATTTTTTTGTACTTATTTCTGCAAGTACATACAACGTGAAGCGGGTTTTTCCAATTTATCTTGGTATATAAGTTTTAAATATTGTCTTAAATATCGCGCGCTCGTTGCCAATGTAAGATTGTAAGCCGATTGTGCTTTTATTTGTTGCCTTTAGCAAGGACAGTAAATCTCTCCGTAACGGAAGTACCTGCAGAAAAGCTCTTGTCTAAATGAGACATGACATGGTGCATTGGCTTCTGTGTTCACCGCAATAACCAAGATAGCTTCAAGCTCAATGACTACAACTCTGTATTTCCAGCAGTCATTGTGATCAACTGGGCAATCGCATGAACAGGAAGGTGTTTGGTACACAGTAAAGACATGTAACAGACTATCTCGGGAAAACACGCTAAATATCACTTGGGTCCCGGTCACGCGGATGTAATGAAACGACGGATGAGCTAACTCGCGCTGACGTCGCCTGTGAATACCATACCATCGACCGTCTGAGACCATTCAGCGCCTTAAAATTTTGTCTAAAGCAGTGGACCATGGAAGAATACTTAAGGTCCTGGATCAATTCCACTGTAAGACATAGGGGTAGTGTGGAATCTAGATAGACCAAACTGCTACTAATTTTAAGCAAACAAGAACTTGACATTCTTTTGGATGAGTGCAGAGCATGCACATGCGAGTGAACCGTCTACAACCGATTGAGACGTCACATCTTTCACGGTGCCCTCAGATCCAAGGAAGCAATTAAATATGTTTATTAAATCGAACGAAACCTTATTAAAATTATAGTTGGGTCAAGGGCGAGAGCATAATAAGCCCATAGTTAAGGTGAGGTCCTCAATCTCTCCTTTCAACCAACCAACCAATCATATGGCGCCCAGAGTACCGAAGACAATTTTATGCACTCTTACGGCTTAGTTAAATTACAAAAATAAATATGAAAGAAAACATGTCAGCAGTGAACGTCAGACAGTTCTCTACAAAAAGCTTCACCTTTCAGAGAAGATTTCAACGAAAAGCTTACCCTGCGTCATACCATGAGTGCAATGGTTGAAGTGGTTTCCCATATAAAAAGCAAATATTGATGATAACTAAGTTCCTAACATTTCCCCCACTGACGGACGTATTTAACTACGCTCTTCGTGAATAAAACATATTTCGTCTGAATGGTTAACAGGATATAATATTTTAAGATTATTCTAAGGATAAAAACATTTAGAAAACAATTTATCGACGAATAACAGACCCTTTAAGAAGCGAGTGACAGAAAAACATATTTTTGGCGAAAAGTAAATCTTATTTATACCTAAATACGAGGTCGGGTTTTTATGCTGGCGGAATAAGGAGGTACTAGTGAGGTGATTAAGCATATTAGGATCGTAACGTGTTCAGTGACTCATATAATAATAAGAGATTTCATTGTTATTAGACAATCAGTATTTGAGCTATCGTCCACTAAGCAACAAAAACTACGAGTAAAACTTAAAATATGGAATAAGTCGAATATCGTATCCTTATAAAGTTCCTTACCAAGAAAAGAATGTCAGTTGCGACCATAATGAATGAGACGTTATGGGTTTACGGCGTTTCTTGTTTGGGAAAATCCATGATCCATGATCCTTCGAAAAATCGTCCTCGACGATGCTCTCAGAACTGATTGCAGTACTCGATACAACCATTCTTGAAATTCTACATGATGAAGTCAGGGTGGCAGTTTCGGTGTATTTTGAGGATAAATAGAAAATATTTTAATAAAATAAAAATAATTTAGTTTTTTTATTTCCACCCCTCAACCCCTATGTATGTCATTTGCAACTAACTACGTACCTAAATTTATCACAAGATATTTTATTAATTTTTTATTAATCGAAACAAGGAATTACAATTTATGTTTTTCACGCTACCATTACTAGTGCGCTTCTAAAACAAACTAAAATCATCTTATGACGTACTCATATTGCTGGCCATGGGGCCGTCGTGTACTCCAAAATAAATTATATCTTTATACATACAATGTATATACATAAGTATATAAAAAAACATCAAAAACAAGCTACGTAAAAACAGACGCAGCATCAATATCGACAACAGCAAACCAGTTCGCACATCTCACATTTCCAGCATCAACGGTCGACCCGCTTATTTACCACAATTTAAAGACAGCACGCTGCTCAGTAGCAGCCTCACCAACAAACGATGCAAACTCTGCCGAAGTATCAGCCGCGAAATCAACATAGAGCGCAGAGAGATAAGTTTGGGTATGTATATGCATGTGTGTAGGCATACCGAAATAACCAGCACACAACATCTACAAAAACAACATCGTCAACGAATTCCTTATAGTAATAAAAAGCAGCTGCTTACTTTAACGCAACGGTATATAAAAAAGTCCTTATATACAAATATCTGCTTCATTTATTGAACACTCGTGCCCATCTAGTACCCACCAATAAACTGTATATAATGCCAGTGAGCACATTCATACACTGTATGGGTAATGGTAAAGCAGCAAAAAGAGCGAATCAACACATGTCACTCAATTGAGACCAACCACGAGAGCACGAGGCGGTTGTATCAACGAACATAGCGAGCTGTGGTGACAGTGACAGCAGTCGCCGTTTTGCAGTTTATGTGTATATAGTAGATTAACTGGACTGGGCTGGTCAAATGGCTGCGTTGCTGCGCTGTATTGATGCCTGTGAATGAGCGAGAGAGGGAGCGAAAAAAAAATTGGTCTGTGAAATCGAGTGAGTTTATATGCATGCAAGTATATTCAATAAATGAGTGTTGAACGAACAAAAGTTGGGTAGTAAATATAGGTGAAATGTGCTGTGTGAGATAACCTTGCGCATACATATATGTAAGCACGAAATACTTGCAATGGGACACAATAACTGAGCGAGAGAGCGAACCAGGTACATAAATAAGTTGAATATAAAAAAAAAATAGTGTGTGTTGTATACTTAAGCTTGTGTATGACAGACTCAGTGGATTCAGTTGAGTTGGTAAATAATTGTGTAGGGCTTATAGAAAACTATATACACTGTAGGTAAATAGAAATGAGTGACTTCAAGTAGGTTTATGGCTATAGCGAGACAGAGCGCAGAGCTCATTTCTAAACGGAACGTTGAGTAGTGCGAAAGTGTTATTGGTAACGTCGCGCATTGTTTTATAAAATAAAAGATAATAAATTCAAAGAAGTTTCTAAGTGTTTCCATAAGTGAAGTCTATATTCAAAGAGAAAACAACTGAAATTTAATAAAAAAAAATTATTTAAATATTTTAATAATAATGAAGTTAAAAAGTTAATAAAGCCAAAAAAAAATTGAAAATTATTAAAAATAAGTGACAAAGGAGAAAAATCAACATTGGCAGACGAATAAAGCGGCTCATTTGCTACTCTGTGCTCTTTATATACCGATATGTATATATGTATGTATGTATGTATGTATGTGTTAAAGTTATATATATGTATCTATGCAGTTGTGTCGCTCACTTTACGCTGAAGTCGCTGCTCTTGTGATATTAGCTATGCTGCTAATGTACAAACAGTCATACGATAATACATTCATTGGTGCGTAAGTGTGTGTGTATCTGTGTGTCCAACTACAGAGTCTCCCTACTTCGCCTGGGTGATTTTGCCTGGATTATTATTTTGGAGTATTTCAAATACGACTGTGTCACGTTTTTCGACGGCAGACAGCGTAACGACTGTTGTGTGTGTGTGTGAGTGTGTACGCCACATACATATATGTACACTGTAAATGTATAAGTGCTTAATATAGCGCGCGTATGATAATAAAACAAAGTGTATGATAAAAGTGTGCACAAAGCAAAGTAGTGCAAAGAGCAGTTTTTGGTTAGCAGGAGAAAAGTGCTTTGATGCTGTTTGTACTCGGTGTATGAAATAAAGAAGAAAAAAAGGATAGAGTGCATTAATTGCACCAGCTATAATATATTGTATTTGTGTAAACGAAATTAAGTTTATAACAACAACAACAAATAATTTTTATAAGAAAAGAGTTTACAAATATTAAAATGATTTAAATTAAAAAGCAAAGTGATTTTTGTGTAAAAAATAATTCTGATTAAGTTTGTTACTTTAAACCGGTGATAAATTAGCAATAATTGTGTGAAATATTCTGCATCATATTCTGGATTATAATTGGATATTTTACCCTTGCAATTGGATTACTACAATGTTACATGGATAACTGGATATGCATTTCATCGGACGATAACGCATTCAAAGCAACTTAGCCAGCCGCTCGTTGAACAGCGTTCAAACACCGTCGCTATAAACAACGGCGGAGTCACAATCATTTCATTAAAGGTAACAACGCTGCTCCCTAATTTAATTTTTGAAATATGAAACTTTTGCACGATCAACTAACAAATCCCACCACCACCACCACCATCATCACTATTTGCCACACTCACATTCCTTTCTACCCTCCAACTTGCCAATGAACAGAAAAAAAAATTAAAACGCTTCTGTTTCCTTTCTGCTTTCAAATTTTTCGTTCATTAGCGTCTTTCCTTTTCATTTTCGTTGCATGCAACATATTCATGACAGCTGTATATACATACATGTATATATATATTTATGTGACAAACTAAGTAAGTACCTAAGCGTGTTTGCGTATATAGTGGCTTTTGTATTAATAATTTGCCTTTATATACTATTTACCCGCATATTTATACATATATACATATATACAAATGTACATATGTATGCACCTAGTGTATACTCAATCCCATGGCTTAAAATGTGCATTTATTATCTTCTCTCTCTGCTTTTGCATTTCGTTCGTTATGCTTTGCTTCATTTCATATCGTCTCTGTAACGGCTTTCCTTATTATGTACCTTCTCGTAAATATATACACATCGTACATACATACATATGTATTTATTTGCTTAACTCTGTCTGCTAGTCTGTCGAACTACCATGCGGCATATCACATGAAATCAACGACGAACAAGAAATGTCTCTGCCACATCGACAACGTCGTCAGCAACAGAAGTTAAAGCATGGCAAATAACAGCCATAACATACCATACCATATCATGCTGTAGTGACATCCAAGGCAACCAAAGCCGGCAGATTTTAACATAAAAACCAACAGCAACAACAACAGAAGGTATCTATATGTGGACGTCATAGGCAGCAGCTTGCGTTTTTCCCTTCATCTGAAACACATAGATATGAATACTCGAATTTATGTATGGGCGCGTGTATGTGTGCGTGCGTGTGTGCGTGAATGTCTGTACATTTAAGGCGCATTAACAGTGCCGGCGCTCGAGCATATTTAGTTGCACAGTGCATGTACGCAGTGTGAATACAACTCAAAAATTATCTATCTAATGAAAGAACAAAATTTTATTTCCTCACAATTAGAAAAAAAAAACTATAAATTCTTTTTGTGATTATATTTAACATTTTTATGTTTATTAAAAAAAAACACTTTAAATTTAATATTTTCGTTTCAGAAAGGCTTCTATTCCAATTCCAGTTATTCAGTTATAACTTGGAGAAAGCACGATTTATAATTTTTAAATTATTTTTATGAGTCTCAATGATTTTCCTTAATTTTTACTGTCCCAATTTCATTCATTCAGGAAATGGTATCGAGTTTCAATGATTTTCCCTAGTTTTTTTTTCCCAACTTCATTCCTTCAAATATAACTTGGACAAATCCGCGATTTATGATCTTTTAAATAATTCCTGGTATGTGTTTCAATGATTTTCCTTATTTTATTCTCCCAATTTTATTCATTTAGTTAAAACTTAGAGAAAACCTCGATTTATGACTATTCAAATAATTTTTCGACAGATTCCTGGTATGAGTTCAATAACTACCTAGTAAGGTTCATATTAGAAATTCTCATTTGGAAAAAAAGCTCATATCCCCGTTAGTTTGGTGTGAAGCCAAGAATTTCCAACTTCTCTGCTGAGTCATGGTTTTTGTTTAAATATCCTTTTGATGGTGGGACTTTTTTCACAACCGACCCACTGTGCAGGTAACACTTATGCCTCCTTGCTGATTCCTTTATGCGTTCTTCTTTCGTTTATTCGTTATTCGTTCGTTGTTTCAGCTATACTTTTCGCTTCTGCATTTCACATCAACAGCACATGCGGGTTGGCCGTACGTACCTAGATACATACATACATATGTATGTATGTAAGTACACATGCACATCTATCTGCGTTGTTTAATACAAAAAATTACACATTTTTGTGTATGTGTGTATGTGTGTGTGCATCTTTATTTACATGCAACGTGTGAGCATTTGCTTTTTGCATCTGTTTATATATACATCTATAATATACTATATGTATATATGCGTCAGCCGAAGTTGTTGTTATTGCTGTTAGTTACTATTGCAGAAACCTTCTCACAACAACGCCTGCGTTTGCAAATTCTCTTCTGTGCAAACATTCTACTTGTATGCCTTTGTGTCTGGTTTATTGTTGATCATCTGTTCACGGCACACCGTGTAAATGGAACGGGACTAGACGAGACGAGACGAGACAAGTAGAGAAGTGAAGTTTGTTTGTCACACATTAAAAATTCGAGCTCACATTACATAGTACATAATCCCATTCATTCTACCTTTTATTTTCTATGTCGTCGAAGCTGTGGAGATCTGATTATTCGCACTGTATTACGAAATTCCTTGAAGGGTCCTTTTAGGCTGAGATATTTTTTTTTTGTTTGTTATTTTCAAATTTATCTGTCATTTCTTTGCTTTCTTTAAATTTGTTTCCGCCGGCCTGCGATTTACTGTCTCTGGATATGTTTTATGGACGCTAGGCGCATACATACAAACGCATGTACATACATACATACATTTTTAATCACTTAAGTTTATAGGAAAATGGTTGTTTGGTATGAGCATATCTGTAGTAAGCATCAGTGGTTATCTTATTCTATTTTAGATAGGACTATTTATGTATACACGTATGTACGTACATACCACATAGATATGTATGTATATGTATATATAAATTTTATATAAACGACATGTACATGTCTATATGTACCCATACACACATACAAAAAATATGTTTGCCCATGCTTCCCTCCTTTCCAACCCCCACAACTGTATAACCGCATGGTTATGCTGCATACTTGTATGTATGCATGTACATATCTATTCATTTATGCTGCTCTTTGGTTTGCACCTCACTGCCTCATCAGAAATCCATCCATTCACAAGAGCACACTCCCTTCTCTTCTCTCTACCAACGAGCTCCAGCTGTAGCAAAAACAACAAAAAAATATCAAAAATTTACTTGAAACCCGAAAAATATATAAATAGCAGCGCAAAGCGAAGTATGTAGCAGCAGCGGGCACAACTACCACACAATACTATAAACGCACATAAATGCATACAAAATTACATACATACTTATGTATATGTATGTTTGTATGTCATCTATGCATAAAGTTAGTAAATTCAAGGCACTGCCGGCAGCTAAAACTTAACTCTTCACCCTCCCCGCGTAGCGAAGCAACACACAAGCAGCACACTGTTCCATTTCGTTAAGTCGTCGCTTCAATTCAGTTTCAGTACGACCGCACAACTGGCTCTTTCGCCTTTGACCGACCAGCTAGCTCGTCGTCGTCGTCGTCGTCGCCGTCTCTGTGCCGTTGCTTACCTTAAACTTTTCTGATTTTTTTTCTTCCTTTTTCATTGTATGCTTTATGTTATTTTAGGCCGACTGCAGCAGTGGCAGCGGCGCCGACGTCAAGTGTGAATGCTTTCAAATTCTGTTATCGTCGTCGTTCAGCACAGAGTTGCTACTGTCGTTGTACGACTAACTACTGATTGCTGACTGTTGTGCTGGTGCTGTTGCTGGCGCTTGCTATATACATATGTATGTATGTACATACGAATACATTTTTATGTATGTATGTAGTAAATATATGCGTAATAGTATCTTTAGCTGTTTCGGTCTGGTTTTGGTGTACAGGGGTTGTCAAAAGTCTTCTTCTTTTTTTTTTTGCCTTTTTGGCTTGCTCAAAGGGCAAACCCGTATTTTGTTTTAGCGTGGGCCAACTGCGGGCCATGGGCCATTACACGGAGCCTCCAGCGCAGACTACATATTTTGTCAGCTTTGAATGCTTTCACTTGAAAGTTGTTTTGCTGGCGTATGAAATTTGGTCCCTTCACTCAATAGATGTACATATGTATGTATATGTAAACCTACCGTGTCACTCATTGAGTTTTCTTCTTTCTTTTTTGGTTTCTTTAACATTTGGCCTGAAGCAAGTTGCAATGAACTTTTTGTCTTTCTTCTTTTCCTGTCAGTTTAGAGATATTTTTTTTTTCATTATTTTATTTTGGCCAATTTTTCCTGACTTCCTATTTGTAGTTTTTTTACTTTCATGTCCTTTAACTTTTCTTCCGGTTATATGATGCGTGTTTTTTTCACTGCAATATCGGCCGTCACCAATCGCTTTTATATCCGCTGTCTTGGAAATAAACGGTTGAAGTAGTAGTACATGCGTGCGGACATCAATATGTGTACATACATATATACGCAAGTAAGTAAGTACATACGAGGGTAGTTTTTTAGTTCCTGGAATAGAGGAGATAGAGCAGGCCTCAGCTGTGTACCATTTGGGGTCTCACTGTCACTACCTCAAGTCGCCTTTTTAACAAATTCATCCAAAGTAAATCAAAACTATGAGAAAATCCAACCAAGACAGACCCTCGATAAGGGACTATCACTCTTTCGGCGAATTAACGACCGAGTCTGAGTACATCAACGGAGCAACACCTCGCGGCAGTGTTGTTTCAAATCCTCATCATGAGGGCTGGCGTGAAATCCAACCTAGACATTATTTCTCCTGCGTGTGCCATAGATGATTCCACAATTCTTCCATTTCGGTTAGATGCAACCTCTGTAATGGTCCTGGTCATTTTAAGTTCTGTTGAGGTCTTCAAATAAATAGGAAGTGAACCACGCATTACGTGGTTCTTTGCTGTCAGTGCTAAACTGCGCTTCAAGCCTTCAGCGCTTTGTCTCTTGCGCCCCTATCCACTTTGGTTAACCACCCTCAGACCGCTACGGACCAACGGAGCGGAGCTCCTGGAAGCTTGTGACCCAAAATTACCCTACACCTTATCTCCACTCACATCCGGCTTTACCCACCTCCTATGCAGCAGACCCCAGTGCTCTGCATCGTTTGTGTCCCTTGTGGCAGACTATAGTGCGTCGGATCGGAAGGTGACACCTGTCAAGTGAAGTTCTTGCTCTAGTTGATGTCATTTTGAAAGATTTTCTAGCCTGCGCACGTGACCCCATGCTATGCTTCAGGAGTCTATCTCCGCCTAAAATTGTAACACGCCCGCCAAACACCATCCGGTGGGTTAAACATATGCAATATTCATGATCAACGCATTCCTCCCTCACACCCCATATTACGAACGGTCTCCGGAGACTAGTCTTTTTGGACCCTTTAAACCTACTCATCAAACTCCATTTCCCTCTGATCCTAATCTGTCGAAACAGCTCGCTTCCTGAACCTCCTGTCAGATGGGCTCGATCACTCAGGCTGTTCTTACATATCTGTGGTTGGTAGTCACTTGAAAAATTTTTTTTTACTTAAAATTTTTCGATTCCAAAACTCTTGGAGTCTCCCTCGTGCTTGTCTTTATTTTGATTTTATTATTATTTTTTCTATTTAGCTTCAGAGTTTACTGTCAGTCTTAATCGTTGAGCGATTCTTTTATGTACATACATACATGCACATATATATGATATTTGGTACGTGTGGTCGAGACGAAGTTCAGCTTCCAATTACTTTTTCAATCATCCTTCAGCCACAAGTTTATCAATTCGAAATCAATTTGTTGTGTGCGCAATCGTTATTTGTTTTTGTTTATGTTGCTCGCGAAAGTAAACATGGCATTAATTAAAGTTTTCTTGCAATATAAATCGAATATTTTCGAAGGAAGATGTTTTCTTTATACATATATACATACATACATACATACCTAGATATGTACATATGTATAGTTTTTCTATTTAAATTCATCAAAAAACCTTTAAGAATGAATTCAATGCCCTTTTAATACGAAGTGTTGTTGTTATGATCTTCAGCATGACTGAGTAATAATTTTGCAGTTTTCTAACTTTTAAGCAAAACTTTTTGGAAACAGTTCTTATTGCGTTATCATCAATATTCTGCGCAGACAGGCGTCGGTGGAGATAACCCCCTCAGCTATTTTAGGTGTTTCTGAATAACGACATACACACAGAGTGTCCACTACTTTCGCCATCGCCACCACAGCAAAAGAAAGTTAAACAAGTAAGGAAGACTAAGTTCTGGTGCAACCAAACAGTAGAAACTTGTCTGTTGTTTATATTAAGCCTACAGAGAGGTCAAAAATAGAAGGTTGTTTGAATGACAACTAGAGATCTGTTTCTGGACCTAACGAATATGTATGTATATCAGGCATTTTTGGCAGAACCTTCGTCCCCTTTGAAATTAACATACCCAGCAATGGCTCCATTCGTGTTCATACAACATATAATAGGGATATTATATATGTAAAATTTGACCGAATGTTATCGAATAATTTCGGAGATATACTTTTTGACCGAAAAATGAGTGTTGCCACGTCCAATGGAAGTTTTTTGTTCAGAACCCCACTCATATTTTTCATTTTAGTACCTTTAATGGCATATTTGGTACTGAAATATCGTAATTTTCGTACTTTTCAAAATTACCGTTACATGGTAGGCGTGCGTTAACTTGCTACACCTTTATCTGTTGGCAACACTGTCCGTACGTTTACTTAATGAGATGTGCGAACACTGTTTTATCAGTACAAATATCTCAATACATACTACAAACAGACAGACAGACATGGCAAAATCGATTCGTCTCGTCATTCCATGAAGCTTGAAGTTTGATATACAGGGTTATCTATTATGCAGTTACGAAAGTAATCTCAATAAACTGTATTTGAAATAGTTTTTTATGAAATTTCTTATTCATTATAAAACTTGAAGCTTTTCATCTTGGCACTGCGTTATTTAAATGACGCGACGTGTATTTTGGCAAACTTTGAACCGTTTGAGGCAATTTTCGACCATTTTTTGGCTCATATTGCGGTAACTCAGTTATAACTTGACGAATGTTGGCTCTCAAGTGTTGTAGAGTTAGAGGCTTACCCGCATAAGCATGGTAACTCCACAAAGAGCAGTCCAATGGTGTCCAATTGAGATCGCTAAGATGAGAGAGAGAAAAGAGAGAGAAAATAAAGCCATTTGCGCTCGCCTTGCGAGAGGCATGTACCACCATTTTGTTGTAGCCACATATACTCCAAGTCATATTCTTCAATTCGAGACTAAAAGAAAGTCATTTATTATGCGACCATTAATGCGCCGTGTTGACAGTGACAGTTTCGCCGTTGTCGCTTTGAAAGAAGTAAGGTCCAATCACAGCACCGGACCAAAAGGCGCACCAGAGAGTAAGTTGTTTTTATGTGGGGTGTTATCTCGGCTTCTCTTAAATTATTTCATGATTCTTGGACAAGTTTGCTTATGGTATTCTCTTTTATCTAAAAAAAATTGGAAGTGGATTTTTGAGCAAAAGTTCTAAAAATAACATCGAACAACCGACGTATATTTTCACACTTCAAAACTCAAGCCGTTTCTTTCAGGCACCGGTTTCCAGTGAGAATAACAAACTAAACGACAGATCGCGCTAAACCCGTTTTTTAGTGCACTTTTTTTTAAAAAAAAAAGGTGGACGGTCATCAACTCTCATTTTGAACTTTCTGTGTAGGATGTTTCTTTCTGGTATAAAGTCCGATTCATTTAAATGGTATTCAACCAGACAAAGTCTAGTTTAATATCTCCCATCATTACCCAACTTAATTACTCATTTCACTTCAATTTGTCTCCGCCAAATAACCTTAAATGCTATCTTTTATCCTGTTGTCCTTTCAACTTAAATCTTTTTCAAATTAACTCGACGACAAAGGCACATCTTCCAGTTTTCAGGATTTCATATCTATGTACATTTGTACGTGTGTATGTGTTTATGTCGTATATATATGTACATATGTATGTACTACGTAAACATTTATAAAGCCCAACTGTCCAACACAACATTTCACTTCTCTTTAATTATATACATACCACTCAGCTGGCTGCTCTCCCTTGAAGCACATAAATTCCAATTTTTCATTCGCATTCTCTAACAAATTTTTGCACTTTTTTTGTGTCTCTTTTCAGATTGTTTTGCGCCGGGTTTTTTGTTGTTGTTCGTAAGTAACAATGTCACCCGTGCCTGGAGCTACGACAGCGAGCGCGAGCAATGGGCCAGCAACTACGCCACTACCACCAACGCCGACGTCACTAGCGCCAATGTCAACATCATCAAAAGCAGCAGCAGCCGCAGCAACAATAACAAATACAACGAAATCAACAGCAACAACAAACGCGACATATACATCGTCTGCGCCCAACCGCGACCCAAAGATGTCCACGCAACAGCAGATTTCACCTTCGCGTTCACAGCATGCTGGTGGTGGCGGTGGCGGTGGCAGTGTCACTGGCAGTGCAGGCAACAAAAGCAAACAGAACTATAATAACAACAACAGTATAAGGAACAATAACTGTAATAACAACGTGTTTCAGCAAAGCCACAACAAAAACAATAAGTTGTCCTTGCAACACAGTAATGTCGGCGCAGGTGGAGGGGGAAGCGGGGGCAGAGTAGCATCAAGTGCAGGGGGTGTGAGTTTGGCGAATGCGGAAAGTATGCGACAAATGAAACAGCAGCAGCAGCAACAAAAGCAGCAACAACAACAGCAGCAGCAACAGCAACAGCAATTAGCGAATAAAAACACCAGTGTAGCCAGCAGTAGCCAAGTGAAGGCCAAAACCAATGAAATGCAAAAACAAACAGTTACAACAACAACCAAATTGTCCTTCACCCATGCGACGCCAACAAACGCGGCCACCGTTAATGGCGTCGTAACAACCAAAAGCGTGAACAACGCGCAATTCTCCTCGGCACTTGGCAGTGTTGTTGGCACGTCGTCAGCCTCGTCGACATCGCTGCCCTTGTTGTCTGCGCAGACTAATTGCAATACTAAATCACCGACAACAACAAAGTCGCAACAACAATGCTCCAACACTACTACCACCACCACCACGACCACCACCGTCGCTGCTGCAAGCTCCTCGTGCTCAGCTTTAAGTGCGGATCCGTTGGCCTTGCCGGCCATCACTTATAATGGTGGCACTTCACCACAAGCTAAAGCGACAGCAGCAGTTTCAGTAGCAAAAGCAATAACAGACGCAACAACTGCTGATACAACAACGACAAAAACAACGGCAGCATTAAAGACGACAATAAATCAAGCGGATGCGGAAATAAAAGAGGAAAGCGATCCGCAACAGGTGATCGCCGTTAAGTTGGAGGAAAGATCTCCAGCAACTACTGCTGCAACAACAGCAACAACTGCAGCAAAAAAATCACCGACAACAACTTCCACTACACCTAATCAAGTAGGAACACCCTCTACAATGACAACAAATGGCAAGGATAAAGCTGCGGCGCCGGCGGAAACTACTAACAGCAACCATAATAATAACAATAACAACAACAACAGCAACAATAACAATAATAATAAGAACAAACATAGTAAAAATACAACTGCAACAGCTGTTGGCCCACTCGTTACCACCGACGATGCGTCTGCGGATAATCTGATTGTGGATAAGCCGCGCAAAGTACTGTTGAGCGTCATAAATCCGCATATAATTTGTCATTTGTGCAACGGTTATCTCATCGATGCGACAACCATTGTCGAGTGTCTACATTCGTGTAAGTATCTACCTTTTTTGGCTTCAAGACTAATGAAGATTTATTAAATTATTGTGTATAAAGAAGAGAGAACATGCATACATACATATACATAGGTGTGAAAAAGGTTAAAGATTAATTATTAACCTTTGAATGACTAACTTTTGAGAAAATAAAGTGAAATTTGTTAGTAAAAAATTTAGAATTTATCGAAATTTTTTTTATTATAATTTTTTTTCTTTGTTTTTTCTTTGGTGGAGCTTCTGTTGGGAACCATGGGCCGATTTTTAGAGAAGCTGTATTTTTTTTTTTTGCTTCAGAGATGACAAAAGGTACGGCTTTTCACCAGATTATTTTTGGGCTTTCGTAGTAAAATGAAGGCAAACTATTCAGCTGTTTCACAGTAAAGTGGATAAATTTATTCATTAAACACATCGAAGCAAAGTCTTGCTTATCTTCAGTAACCTACATCCAAAGAGATTTGTGAAAAATAAAATCATCCATTTGTTGGAAAAACATCAAGACGAAAAACTATAAATTGGTGGAGGAGGGCGGCGAAAAATCGCTTCCGCGGTAACAAAGCGCCAATTATATATACATATATACATACTATATAACATCAAAAAACATGAAAGATGTGCCGCCCTCTATCATGACGAAATCTATACACCTTTCATGAACAAAATCAAACTTATTGTTTAACATTTTAGGATTAAATATTAATTCTCATATCTGAAAAATCGGTTGTAGAGTGCTATATGCCAATATTCATTTGTATAGGGTTATCCATTTCGTGGTTCAGAAAGAGCAGGATTGTATTTTGACAATTGTGAAACTTAAATGTCAAACCAAACATGTTTTGATTTAGTTTAAAGTTGGGAATTTATGAAAATAGATCACTTAACAACCGCACAATGCATTAAAATAGTTAGAACTTACTTCAAAAATGGTGATGCCAATATGGCTTCGTGTTGCGTTTTAAGCAGAGCTTATGGTGTACATAACCATCCAACTACTCAAGAAAGTGGTAAATTTTTAAAGAAATTCGAAGGGACTGTATTGGCTTTACAATAGCCTGTGCCACCTCGCAACTCGTGTTACTGCAAAGGGAAAATATTGTCGAAGCCCCGAATGCGTCTATTTCTCGACGCTCTCAAGAGCTAAGTGCTGGAATTTTCTTACATCTACATACATCCATATAAAGTCTGGCTCACAGAGCAACCGAAGCCAGGTGGACATTCACAACGCCGTAAATTTAGGGAAGAGCGTATGAATTTAATGCCGAAAATTGTTAATATTAATTTTAGATCAAAACTTTGATTGGAATTTTAAACGCATTAGAGACACCTTAAATAAATTTTTAATGATTCATAGCATTTTTACAACTTTTTTTTTTTTTGTAAAGCAAGTCGCATTTTTTTTTATTAAATTTTTTTTTTTTTTGAAATTAGGGAAATTTGCTTTCAAAGTTATATTTTTACAATTTTTTCTTCAACTTTATTTAGCTAGAATTTCAATTAGTTTCATTTAGCAATAAGTACATTTTTTAATATACATTTTATTATTATTATTAATACACATACATACCTATGTATATGCCTATAATTTTATTAAAATATTTTATACTCTTTCTTTTTCTCTACAGTCTGTCATAGTTGCCTAATTAAACATTTGCGAACGGAGCAATACTGCCCACGCTGTGAAATGATGATAAACACGGCCAAGCCGAATATCAAGTGAGTAGATACAACTTAGTAGATATTTTTATAGTATAATGTTTATCTGTATATATTATATATGTACATATAAAAGAGTAAAAATATAATGTGGGTGAACTTTTTACCAGACATACATACAAATTTCTCTTTATCTATTGTGTGGGCTTATTATATGCGTGACTGTGAAAGTAACAAACATTAAATCAAACATACAACTGCGAACAAGAAAATATCAGAATCTTTGGTCGATATATATATATATAAATATTTTTTTTTTTATTGAAAAAAAGGAACTTATTTTATATTAAACATGTGTGTAAAGTAAAAGCGAAAAAACCCTTAAGTCACACTTTAGTGGGTCGCCCAAAGCATTCCACCGACGACCAAAGCGAATTAATTTTAAAATGAGGGACAGAAGTAAAATCATAAACCGATTTTCAAAATCTTTTTATTATGCCCGTCAAAAGTGATTTCCAACACAATTTTTTTTTAAGAAAAACTTGGAAAGTTAGAAAGAAGATAATTTGACACGTAGGCGATTGTAGTTACGCTGAAAATGGCGACTGCGTCCTCTTTAAGTCTTCATGGCAGGAGAAAACTGGAAGATGTGACTGTCAGGAGGCTCTTAGAAGCACTTATACCTAGATTGATGTTGACTTATCACTATTTTTCATAGTATTTATTTTTATCGATGTAAATTTTATTTAATTTGATTTTTTTTCGGTCATTAGCAATATTGTTAAATAAAATCCGATCTTAGTGCCATTTTCGTGTTGAAAACTGTAAAATAAACTTTAATCTTGAAAAAAAAAATATTTATTCATTAATTTCTTTTTCTTTTTTTTCATTCTAATTTGCACTTTTCGCTTGCTCCATGAGCTCTTTTAGCGTTAAGAACTTAGACGCTATTAAAATGGAAGAACGCGACGAGCAGAACTTTGGCGTTGAATCTTTTTGGTTCCTTTTTTTCGGTTTTTACTCTGCCAGGTTCTTATATTAGGACGATTAGGCCCGGGTTTTGATGGCATGTATTTTTCTTTGTTAAAATCGTTGAACTTAACTTGCTCAAACTCTCCCAGAAAAGTGCATTATGTAAGGTAACTGATGCCGAAACCTCTGTGCTTTAGGGTTTCAAGAATTTTTACGCGGTTATTCGGGCTTGTATACTGGAATGAAACTTTGCCTTATAACCAGTTCCACGAGGGATCGAACTAAGATTTATGTTCCTACTATTTTTTTTTTTTTTGACATTCCATAAACAGGATTTACGTTAGGTCTCAATGCGTGTACCGATGCTTCATAACTTGACTTGAAAGCATGGTGCGAGTATTCACATAAACTCGGGCTTTTGCTAAGGCATTAAGCAAAAGCTTTCGTTTCAATAAGTTGTGCGGTCGTTTATACAAGAAGCTTTGTTGCGGTGCCCACTTTAAAAAGTGATGCCCAGCTTGCGGCTTACCAATCATACATTGCTTAACTACCTGCCCTAAACTCTCTTACCTGAAATTGTCCTTTTTGTTGTGTTACTCAAACAGAGGACGAATAATTTATCTCGGTGGACTGCATGAAAACCAACCCGTGGAACCAGCATTTTTATGTGCAATAAAATCCTGCTCATAGCGATCTTTGATCTTCATTTTCAATACAAGCTCAAACCGTCTCAAGATTTTTATAGGGGTTGAAGAGTTAACACACAGGTAGAGTAGGCAGGATATTGGGGGGAAAAAATTAAGGCAGTTTTTTTTTGCTGAAGAATTAGCTTCTCCCATAAAACATGAAGCAAATAAATTCACAATTCAATATAATAATATTCTTGTAAGTGGCGCAAAGTAGTTCTTATAAGCATTTACACATCACTGCCTGGAAGAGTACTCACGTCTGTTTGTATATATACATGTGTATTCCCATGCGCAAGACACTCAATCTACCGCTAACTTTTTTCTTTCCTTATTATAATCTGCCAATTATTTCAATTCAGGGTACGTATTTGTTGTTGCTGGTGCTGCTGCTGCCACTACGGCCGCTTATTCCCTGCTGAAACTTGAAGTCATTTTCCTGTGGTCCGGTAGTAGATAAAATGCGCACCTCATGCATCTTGACAGAAAATATTTCATTCGAAATCTACTTGCACACAAACTCACCCTCCTTTCAACGCGAAACGAAATCACGAAATCTTCGCCTTGCATTACAGTCACAGTCACAGTAACAGCCATCCCTTCGAAGGTAGATACGCATAGCCGTGTGGCAACGGCTGTGGCGGGCCAAGCACTCGTTTACTGCCGCTGATATGATCTGATTAACGGCATCTACCGACATGTAATGTGGCATGTGTGTTGTGTGCTGCGTAACGTGGTTTGTGAAAGCCAAAAAAGAAGGGGCGAATTTGCAGTCAGCGCTCGAAGGCAGTTCGATGGAAAAAAATTACATACATATAAAGCAGGCAGGCAATGCCGCTGAAAGGCAGATATGAATGTACATATGTACATATGTATGTTGTATATCGTTATATGCCGTAAGCGCTACGCGCAAAAGCATTCAAGCACACCTTGAAGGGGGGAAAAATAAATCCCGCTTACCGGAAATATAATCAAAATGCCAATTAAGTGAATTTAAGCCGTTTCGTGTGCGTTTGTTTCTTTTATTATTTTTTTTTTGTTTTTTTTTTTTTTGTTTTTTTTCCTTGCGAATTGTGACATTATTTGCGAAATCTTTGTTACCAACACAACCCAACTTCTAAGACGTCTCAACGTCTCAAGTTATTTGGTTGTTTATACAGCGTGTTACGTCACGCGGTGCAACAATAAACACACACACGAAATCACAAAACGAACTGGCGGGCGGGGTTTCGCTTCGATTTGCCGTCGGCATATGCAGCAAAACCAATCCAATGCAATTGCGGTAAGACGGCCAGAATCGGTCGCTTGGCCTATAGTCGGTCGTTTGCCAAGCGAGCACAGAGCAATAAGCGAGAGGCACAAGAACCGGTGTAGTGCGCTGCATTGTAAGTAATGTGCCGTTTTCAACTTGTTTCGCACTCAAACGCCAGAGCGCGCACACGCTTGAGAAATCCCATTTCGTTTTCCAATATTTCCACATACTGAAATGCGACCGAATAGGGAGCAGAAATGTTGTGTAGGCAGGAAAAACGAGCAAAACAGATTTAATGATAAAACATAAATATTTGGTTGAGTATGGAAAACAAATGTAGTACGAAAATAGTCAAAGAGCATATGATGAAGCAATGAGTGGAGAGTAATGTTGAATAAAGATACAAAACAGCGTGGAAATGAAATGAAAACAGTAAATATGTATGTATATAAATATGTATGCAAACCTACATATTTACTCGTCTGTGAGTTTGCTTCGAAGTTGTGCTCTCGAGTTTCTTTTTTTTTGTTTCTCTGAATATGCTCGGCCTGCTGCTCTGCCAGTTTTGGCATGTCCCAACCGACGTTGGCTGTTTCGGCGGGGTGCTGTGCCGCCTGTAATGTTTATTGTTTTATTTACATTTTATTTTTCTGATTTTGTTTTTCTACTTCTTCTTCTTTTTTTTACAATTGCTTTCGTTATCATTGTGACGTTGCTGCTGCTGCTATTTTTATTTTTTGCTCGGTGTTGTTGTTGTTGTTGTATTCGTTGTAGGTATGTGCGCGGAATCCGAAATGCATGCACTCTACTTTTTCTATGCGCACACACACACACACACACACACTGCATGTAGAAACAGTTACTGATAAAAGTATTTCGCATATGGACTTCTTTGTGCCAAGTTCAATTTTAGTGGTGCTGTGCTGATGCAGATGTTTTTTTTTGTCTATTTTTAAGTTTATTTTCATTGCTGGATATTTTTTGTTAAGAAATCGTACAGATTGTCTATGCGCATCATCATACCGTTATATAATTATACCAAAAAAAAATAAAAAATAAAAAAAATGGTGAGGCGACGGCAAAATTTTCTTCCTAAACTATTTTGCTAATTATTTGAAAACTGATTTTCGACAAAAAATTAAAAAAATTGTTTGTAGAAAACAAACAGATGTTTTTAAGTATTTAACTGCATATAACGGTTGCAAACAATAATATCAACTCATACTATCGGATGAGAATGTTCAAAAAGTGCAATAAGTAATAATAATAATAATAATAATAATGTTGTTGTTGTTGTTGTTGTTGTTGTAAGCGCAAAAATATTCCTCAAAGTACTTTTTAGGGAATGTTGCGGTAGTGACAGTCCTTGGCCGCATAAAAGTCTCAGTCGTTCCGGTATAAAGATCCAACTGTCACGGGAACTATTGGGTTTTAGTCACCTCTGACGACAGACATGCCTTACCGCGGGTAAATTCTCGAAACCCTAGTAATAATGATCTTTTAGACCGTTTAGAACAAAAAACTTACCAATATTCAATGTCAGTAAAAAAAGGGAATTTCTATCGCCAAAAAAAATAATAATATGACCTTCAGAAAATAGTATTTCTTAGAGCGAAAATACATATGTAAGTACCTAGATATGTATATTTTTTTTTTTGGATCGGATTCTTGGCGTTTAGTATAACGAAAGCGATGTGCCTTATATCGTTTCCTTCATACTAAACGCCATGAATCTGATCTGTGATATGTGTCTGCAAAATCCTAAAGTCACTGGGATCGATTTATTTGAAAAATCACTGTTTTGGTTCGATTTGCTTGATATTTGAAACAAATTAGAGTTGATTCCTCCTCGAAATTGGAAATATACAGTGATGGCACACCATACCATATTCCAACAATGCTGCTTGAAAATGAAATATAACGGTATTTTGGGAAATTTTTGTTTTGTATAATAATAAGTTATATTTTCGGCCATTAGAAAGCACGTATTTATTAAAATTTTTGGGTCACAGATTTTCATAAAGACTTTTGATTTAAGCCGGCATTTCAATTACCAAATTGTAAATAAACTTTTTAATAGACATTTGTGTGAAATATTCTAACGCTCGGAAGAGCTCCAGTGAAGAGGAAAGGCGCAAAATATGGAAAATAATTCAGGGCGAATGTTTCGAAACGAACGATAGCTCTTCAACTAGACACTGTGCCCTGCCAAAAGTCGAGGTTTGTGTTTCAATGGCTTCAAAACCTGGAAAATCGCTTGCTGATTTAGCCTGCCCAGAGCCTCTGTTATGCCTTTTGTGTTATTATTATTCATAAGTATTTAAACAGTTCAACATAAAAATTTATATGTTATAATAAAATTATTAGCTTATAAACAAAAAAAATCATTTGTTATTTAAAAATTTCATGCAAACAAAGCCGCGGGTATAAACAGTAAGAAATACATAAAAAAAATTTAATCATCGTCATATGCAAAATACTTTTGTGAGCAACTGTAGGTACATTTGATTTTAGTAGATTACAGTGTGCTGTCGTCAGTGCTCATCGAGACGAGATTCCTGCAGCTAGTGTGTGGGCAAAAGGCAAAAACAATACTCATTCACTCGCTCGCTCGTTCGCTTACGGCGCATCACTCTTCCATGCCAATGCTCTTTTTGTTTGTATGAAAATTTCAAGCTGATAAAGTCACCCGCCACGTCGCTCTTGCCACCAGCAGCAGCAGCAGCAGCAGCAGCAACACCATTACCATCCGCTACGACACCATTAGTGTTATGTATTGTTGTTATTGCCTTTTCTTTTTGTTCATCATCATTGATGATGTTGTGTCGTCAGCAAAGTCTGTGCTAACTTACATACATACGCACATCCATTTGTATTGTATATATGTATGTACATTGATTTATAAATGTACCTTTGTGTAAATATTATATATACATATATACATATATATACATTTTTGTGTGCTCAGCATTTGTTGTGTTTGCACTTTGCATTAGCCAAATGCTACGGTATCTACTCAAATGAAACATTGCTGAAATATTTGTGATTAGGAAGGGCGAACCACATTCACACATTTCTACATTCAAATACTCATCTGTCTATATGTACGTTGTACATACATACAATGCCTTGTAGCAGATGAGAAAACTTTTTCACACTACATTACATTTGAATACATTCATTATCGCCCCGTTTACTATAATGCACCTTCAAACTCAAGCAGGGCAGCCAGCTATGTTGCTGCTCTAGCTCGCTCCCAGAAAAAGGAAAGGGCCAGGCAATGCAATACAATACAACAGCGAGTGAAGCTATTAAACGAGATTTTCTCAACTTTATGAGTGTTGAAATTATCAGGGCATTGACTTTACGAGATTTGATTTGACTGCTTGCTGGGCCGATTACGAATTTAGTTAAAGTGTCTATGCAACTACATACCAATATATATACAAATATATTGTATGTATGTAAATACTAAGTATATATCATACATACATATGTACATATGTATCTGCAAAGTGGACTCAACGAACCATGTGGGTGGCTGACAAATCAATCAATTTCTGCTTAATACTCGTTTTAATCAAAAAAATTCCCTTGGTAAATAAATTTTGAATTCTTCGGTTAATAAAATAATTACTGTTGTTATTGTTATATTTTATATGTATATTGTCGCTCGCTCTCCGCCTCTTCCCTCCTTTAGAAGACAACTACAATCATCTGAATCATCATTCATTTTAAATTTTTAGACACAGATTACCTTTAAAGTTAAATAGTTGACTGTTAGTATTAAACTACATACATATGTACTTACATATGTACAATAATATAAGCAACGTCTTAAAAGTTGTAGGGAAAGAAAGTGAAAATATACCGTCCAATGTATTTACTTTCATTCAAAGTGTTTTCAATTTTAATAAAACATTTTGAAATTTTGACATTAAAGCACTTTTAAACATAAATTTTATTTGATTTTTACCCGAAAGGAAAATCTGACGTTGATGTTAAATCGTTAACAGATAATGTTAAAAGTTAACAGGTAATGTTACAAGCTAACAGATAATGTTAAATCGTTAACAGATAATGTTAAAAGTTAACAGATAATGCTAAACGTTAACATTAAAGTATGCGCTCGAAACGAAACAAATTCATTTCATTGAGTTTATTTTTCATATTAGGTCAAGTAAAAAATTCGTTCGTTTTTCTATCTAAGAGATGGCGTTATTGTTCATAGCACTTGCGTTACGTATTACATCATTGTCTTTGAAAGATTTTCGATTGATTGACTCAGTCCGTTGTGAGCGCTCGTTAAAGATGGACACCAGCAAAGAGAAAATTCGCTATATTTCACAATTTTTCTTCGATCAAGGCGAAAAAGCAGCCAAAGCGGCTGAAAAAATCAATTTAGTTTAGGGGTCCGATACTGGAAACGAACGTGTGTCACAAGAGTGGTTTGCTAGGTTCCGTTCCGGTAATTTCGATGTTAAAGATGCACCACGTGTCGGGAGGCCTGTCGTCGAAAATTGCGATAAAATCATAGAAATAGTGGAAACAGACCGTCACGTGAGCACTTATTTCATTGCTGAGGAACTAAAGATAAGCCAGAAAACCGTTTGGAACTATTTGCATAACCTTGGATTCAAAAAGAAGCTCGATGTTTGGATGCCACACGAACTAACGCAAAAAAACATGATGAACCGAATTTCCATCTGCGAATCGCTGGTGAATCGCAACAAAATCGATCCGTTTCTGAAACGTATTGTGAATGGAGTTGAAAAATGGGTCACTGACGAAAACATCGAGCGCAAACGGTCGTAGTCAAAGGTCGGGGAAGCGGCCCAAACGCTGGACAAGACCGGATTGACAGCCCGGAAGGTATTGCTGTATGTTTGGTGGGAATAATGAAAATGATAAAATCCGTGAAGAAAGCTTCTTAGAGTATAATTTCTATATTAAACATTCGTATCTAACAAGAAACATTGTCACCTCCAACCAATTTTTCAAATAAAAATATGTTTAACCATAAAATGAAATACCATACATTCCATAAGGTCATGAAAGGTATCAAGGCTTAGGCATGGTCGCAGACAGCTCTTCTTTCTAGATCTTATTGCAATCGTCATGAAGTAAAAAGTTCCTCATAAGACCACATCAACTTTTTTCGTAGCCTTGAAAAAAGGACTGTAGGTCCTGCCTTTTCTTAAAAACCCATTCAGCCGAACAATACAAATTGAGAGAGTAGCTCGGCTGCGGCCGTTTTTTTTTTAAATCTAAAAACTTTAGAATGAACCTTCCGACTTCCTAGAGATGTTTTATGAGGGAGGTTTTGGGATAAAAACCTACACTATAACCAAGCCAATATTTTCACTAAAAAACCTCATTTTATGATGCAAACAATTTTTATACGCGAACCCATTATATTATTTTTCAAAATATTTTATAAAATGTAAATGTATAAAAAATGTCACCCTTTATTTTTCAGATCTGATACTACACTACAAGCCATCGTCTACAAACTTGTGCCCGGTCTTTATGAAAGGGAATTGATGCGTAAACGCGCTTTCTATAAAGATCGCCCCGCAGATGCTGCCATGGCTACACCCGAACAACGTGGGGAAGACACCGAACATCTCATATTTAGTCCTTCCGACTACATGTCGCTGTCGCTGGAATTCGCAGATACAGAGTAAGTGTAGAAGAAACTTTATTTACATAAAAAATTTACACAGAAATCTTAACACTTAAGAACTCACCACTCAAAATCTTCGAAATCACATTGCTACAACTCTGTTTCCCTTCCTCTTCTCTTCTCTTTCCTTCTCTGATTCGGTATTTTAGTGAACTTGTTTGCCAGAACAGCGAATACCGTGAACTGCTTAAGCCGCGCTACCTGCAGTGTCCCGCCATGTGTACTGTCGGTCATTTGAAGAAATTCGTTTATGGGAAATTCGACATCGACTCGCAACGTTTCAACCTGGACATCATGTACAAGGTGAAGACGATCGTGCTGCTCGACCATTACACACTAATGGATGTGGCGTATATTTACACATGGAAACGTGATGCGCCAATGCGTTTCTATTTCCGTGTAAAGCGCTGTTTGCGTCCAGTTGTGAGGGTACGTAAACTACCGGCCATAACTGCCGCTGGAACCGAAGCCGACAAGCGTGTAGGTGCTGCATCAGATGCGGTTGAAATTAAAGATGAAGTCGTAGATTCAACTCTAACAACAGTCACAACAACAACTTTGCCAAAAGATGTTGCAAAAACAATAACGTCTGTACCAGATGCTATGACAATAATACCAAAACCAGTTGCGTCGACCTTAACTACCGCCGGTGAACCCTTAATTACAGCGCCGTCCGAAATCAAAGAAGAACAAATTGAAGAACCAGTAGATTTGAAGTTGGAATCTCATTCTGATGCGATTGTGAAACCTGCGAAGCCAGCGAAGCCCAACAAAACGCCGTTGGTTAGCTCAACTACGGAGAGCAAGCGTTCGCACGCGAGCTCTTCAGCTGAGCGTAAGGCCGAGAAAGCACTGCATGCACATAACTCACCGAAGACGTCGAAAGAAAAACGCGAAGCCAAAGAGGCGCTAAGACAAGCCGCCGCCGCCGCCGCTGGCGCCGAACAACCACGTGAAGAGCGTAAAGTCGAGAACATAAAGCTAAAAATTGATCTTTCGAAGCAAAACAGTGTGACAATTATCAATATGTCGGACCCACATCGTCGTGAGATTACCAAGTCTGTGCGTCCGGAAAAGGAGTGGAAGTTGAAAACCAAACGTGATAAAGACTCAAGTCCCAAGAATTCACCGAGCAGTGATCGTAAGAGCAAAACGCCTAGTCCACTAACTGTGCCGCCACTAACAATAAAAGCCGAACAAATAAGTCCACAAACGAAGTTAAACCTTTCGGCAAAGAGCTCACCGAAGTCAACAGAAAAGTCGCAAGACGTCACATCCAGCAACGAGGAGGAACAAAAGTCCCAGTTCCTCAAGTCATTCTCACTAACTCCAACGAAAGCCGTCAAAAACGAGGCATGCGATAACTCGCCAAAGTCACCAAAGCCGAGCTCTAGTACAGGAGTTACACATAAAGTGCTCGTGAAATCACCAACCAGCGCAGCACGTGATCCACTAAAAACAACAATAAGCACAGTCTTCAAAGATGCGGCCGCCGCGCCATCTAAACGTAAAATTAAGGAACCAGTTAAGAATGTAGCAAAGAAACCGAAACTGTCGCCGCCACTACCAGCAGAGGACTTTAAAATAAAATTGCCACCGAGTCCGATAGCCAATACAGCAAAGCCCAATGCCTCGTCCAATGCGAAACCCAGCTCTCCTGTAAATGATAAACCGGTTATGCCGTCACCAAAAACAACAGCCGGCACTTCATCGTCCACCACAAGTGCAGTAACTACAAAATCAACCACGTCCAGCGCTAAACCCAGCCAAACAGCCGTGTCGGCCAACAGCACTCAACCGATTATGCGTCCACCAATTGGTTTGCCGCCGAAGAAACCGACCGGAAAAATGAGCGCTGCGGGTACACATAAAATGACTTCTCTACCGCCGCCACCGCAGCCATTCTCACGTTTTGAAATGGCCGCACCTGGTAACCGAACACCGATCGCGAAGCGTTACCAGCCAATACTACCGAAGTCAACACGTCCCAATCCTTTCGCAGACATTCCCAGTGACGTCAACCAGCTGCTGAGAGATGTGGGCACTGAGATCAAGACAATACCCAACAATGAAAAGTCAACGGGGAAGGTGTACGGTCCAAAGACAAGCACAAGTGGCGGCACTACGATCACACCAGACAATAGTGTCATGCCACCACCGCCGGTGCCAGTATCTAAAGCACATTCACCAAATATGGGCCCATCACGACACGGCGTCGCGGGCAATACCAACAAGTTGGGCTCCAAGAACGGCAAAACAACGAGTAATTCGAATAACTATTTGAACCTCGCACTCTTTAATGCCTCCAAATCGAAAGGCAATGAGGCGCCGCCCGGTTGTCGCACGCCCATGTATACGCCCAGCTCGCCGATTTACTCGCCCAGCTCACCGCAATATATGCCGAATTACAATATACCCACAGTGCCTACTTACAAATACACGCCGCGTCCATCGAGCGGCAACGGCAGCTTTTTACAAAGTATTTTAAGCGGAAGCAACAATCAAATGGCTGGACTCTTTCCGGCGCCGCCTACCAAGAAGGATAGTAATGCAAATAGCATGCACTCGAACTCTACAGCCGGCAATAGCTCGCCGTCGCACAGTGGTGGCTATAAGCCAATGGATATAGGTGGCTCACACCAAGCACCAAAGCGTGTCTATCCCTTTGCACGCAGCCCAAGCCCAGAAGATCCGCCAGAGAAGCAGCTGAAGGTAAAATCTCTGCTCAACTCTTGTAATATAAACATTCCTTCATCGCTCTCGATCACCATAACACGCGAGGATGGGGAATCCCAGACGAGTAATACCTCATATCCGAAACATAAGAGTCCTGTGAATAACTACATAGAAATCCTTAAATTGCCTGATCAGCCAACCGAGACACCGGAACAGAGCAAACGTGCTTCATCGCCCGCACAGAAATCGCAAGCTCCTTCGCTGAAGCTGCTCATGCCACCGTCGGCAAACCCAACTCCAACGGCCTCACCGGTCAAACGTGACAGCAAGGAGGGTGGCAAACCCGTCGCTTATGGCGCCACAAATTTGACGCAAACGACACCAAAGCAACAAAGCAGCATGCACAAGTCGACTCACCACAACAACAACAACCCAAACAGCGTACATAAATCCCAAGGTGGCACGCCAAACACAGCAACAAAGTCGCCACAATCAAATGCTAACGCGAGCCAACAATCGCATCACAAGCAGCAAACAAATGACAATAACCAACAAAAAGCCAACATTAAAGTCGCGGAACCACAAAGATCACCACAGGCGGACCAACAACAACACAAGTTGAGCACCGAGAAAAAGTCGCCCATGCATAGTCCGGAGAAGAATATTAGCTTGTCGCCAAACGGCAAGGGAACAAACAAGTCACCGAGCAGTGCGAACGCCCTCGACACGGCGAAAAAGTTCCGACCAATTTTGCCGCGCCAAAACCCGGCATCTGCGATCTCCGAAATCGTGCCTCCAAAAGTAACAACTGCCAACATTATCGGCACCTACTCTGCGCCAAGCGGTGTAGCGGTTAAAGTGCACGCAAACAAGAAGGTTTCGCCACCCAAGAAATCACCAGTTGCGCAGCAGCAACAACAACAACAACAACAGCCGCAACCACAAGTGGCACATCAGCAGCCTAAAAACGGGCATTCACCGAATGCGTTGATGTCTGCAAAAACCACAACACCACAATCGAAGAAATCTCCATCACCAGCACACCAATCGTCAAACAAACAACCGCCGCCACCACCCGCCTCATCATCATCATCATCATCATCATCTTCGGCAAATACACGTGCCAACGCCACACCACCGCCCATGTCATCACCGAACACCAATGTGGTCAACAAACATATGCATCCACCCAGCATGCCACCAACAGCTATGCCGGCCATGCCTAACCTACCGAACATGCCGCCCACTCCACTACAAGTCGCCGCTATGGCCGCTGGCTTGCCCGCACATTTGAGCGGCGTGTCGGCTGCCGACTTCAGTAAGCTCTTCAAGGATAATCTTTTGCGCGCACAAGTACAGGCGGCAGCGGCCGCCGCCCAACCTGGTGGCATGTTTTATCCATACGCGAATGCGCAGCAGTTGAGTCACCACTACAGCTATCAGCAGGCATTCATGTTGGAACAGTTGTCGCGTATGCAACGTGCCGAGGCATTAAACGAGTTCATGCAGAAGTTTAAGAGCGGCCCGGCAGACAAGCCGATGGATAACAGCAGTAGTGGCAGCAGCGGTAGCAGTGGCAGTGGCAACGCAGGTGTCGGCAAGGCTGTGGCTGCTGCCGCAGGCCCGAAAGCATCAGCCGGAGTGAGTGGTAGCGGTGGCGTGTCTGCAAAATCAAATGCGGGTAATGTGAATACGAATACGAATGCCGGTGGGGGCAATAACAATAACAATAACAACAACTCCAGCATTGCCAGCAGCATCGGCACGTCGAAGGGCAAATGAAAATGAATGTATGGCCGGAGGTGGCGATGCAATTGGAGATGAATGAAGTGTTTTTTTTTTCGTTTGTTTTTTTTTTCTTCGTTGGTGTTTTGGAAAAACAGCGCTCAGCTATGGAATTCAATTCCCGCTGTGTGCGTGTACGTGTGTGTATGTGTGTGTGTGTGTGTGTGAGGCTTTGACGAGCACTTAAATACATTTTAAATGAAAGAAATAATTTTAGATACAAGAGTACACACGTACATTCAAATAGATATGTATATGTATATGTATGTGCGTATGTATGTGCTCTTATTTAAGTAAGTATTTAATTTAGCTATAAGTACTATATATGTACATATGTATGTAAGCACTTAGGCTTAAGCTGAAAAGTGTTTCTGTTTAAATTGATTCTTGTTTTTGTTATTTACCTATACATACTTGTATATTATGTATTTTTGCTTATTTATCATTATGAATTACATACATAACTTAACCATTGAAACAAAGTATTTCCTATATAAATGTGTATACACATATACATTCATATATGTCTCTTTATATAACTTATGTACATAGAAGTATATTATATACAAAATAATATCACAGTGGGCAAACAAAAATTAAACTGTACATAAAGAGCCCCATGTAGTATGCAGTATGTTGTATCTTATATAAATATATACCTACATACACGTATGTATGTATGGACATGCATTCAGATGTGCGTCATATTACCCACCCTTAAGAGAACCCTACACAAAGCTATCGAATTCCCCGTCCCTGACTGAAATTTTCTAAAGAAAACATTGAATTTTATTTTTTTTACAAATATGTCTAATATGTATACACCATATACATATGTATGTATATTTAATGATAATAATAACTACACACTTATATAAATATAAAAATATATGTATAATAAATTTAGAATGAGCAAAATCTATAAAAAAAAAAAAAATAAAAAAATATCGTATTGCGTAAATGTTAAAAAACTTAATATATATTTTTAAATAAATAAGTATATATGTAACATAGAAGAAAAAACAAAACAAAACTATTTTCATATACATATGTATGTAACTACGAACTCTTAAGTGATTTCAATAAAATTCAAATTAAATTATGTACACATATGTCTTGTTATTTTACGATATAAAGCCATCTCACATTTACTACAACAATAATATGTCTTATGCTCAGTGTAAGTATATCGAATAAGGGATGAAATTAAACCTACATACATACATACATAACTGCTAATCCAAGTAGGGGTACTTTTTTCAATAGCCTTTTTTGACAGATCACACGTGAGTCGTGTCAGCATTGTTTGGCATTTCATGATGGAGAGACTTACAAATCGTTCAACTTTATTATGAAAATTCGCGTTCTGTAAAGAATGCGTTTCGAGCGCATCGCTCAAGTTATGTTCAACATAATCGGGCCTACTGAGCGTACTATTCGCAACACCTTCAACCATCTTGAGATCTAGCATTCATTAGTGGATAATATTCGACTGAATAAATCACGTTTAGCACATAGTGAAGTTTTCTCTTTGAGCAGCCGTAGCTGAGAATATATACGCGAAGATCGTGAAGAGTCGGTTCGGTGCCGTTCGCAGCAAATCGGACTGACGTGGATTGACTTGGCGCATTTTACGTCGTGATCTTACCTTGAAAGGGTAAAAAATACGCTTGTGTATGAACTGAAGCCGCTGAACTTTTCAAGCGGCAACGCTTCCTACATGAGTTCTTGAAAAGTTAGAAGAAGATGCGACGTTTTCGAACCAAATTTTTTTTCAGCGCTGAGGCCCATTTCTGGCTCTATGGGTATGTAAACAAGCAAAATTACCGCATTTGGGACGAAGAGCTGCCATTTCACCCAGAAAAAAAACGGTTTGGTGTGGTTTGTGGGCCGATGGAAGTTATCGGTCCATATTTCTTGAAAAATGATGCCGCTGAGAACGTAACCATCAATGGCGGCCGTTATCGCTGTATGACAAACACCTATTTAATGATTAAAATTGAGGCTCGTGAACTCGGCGACATTTGGTTTCAACAAGACGACACCACTTCCATCACAACGCATCAATCAAGGGATTTATTGAGAGAACACTTCGGTGAGCACGTTTTGGGCCAGTCGATTGTCCACCAAGACGTTTATCACTTAACACATGCCAGAGATGGGCACCAGTAAAGAGTAAATAAGCTAAGTATGATCCACAACTGTTCTTCCATAAAGGCGAAGACTTAAGGTAGGCAGATGAAAATGTGATTGGTGTTTATGGCCCTGATAGTCGATCATGCACAATTTCGGTTTTGTCAATTTCATTGCGGAAATTTTGATGTAGCAGATGCTCCACGGTGAGGAAAGTCAATTGTCGAGAAAGTTGACTGTCATGCGATCACTGTTTCGGTTGCCCAGAAGCTAAATATTGCACCAAATACAGTTTGTAACCACTTGAAAAAGGCTGGATACACAAAGAAGCTCAATGTATCGGTGCCACATGAGTTAACGAGAAGAAAACCTCTTAGCAAAATCGCCACATCTCAAAAGCGAACGGTGGATGGTGATGAAGAATGGAGTCATCATACAGTAGCGTCTAATGGAAACAGTCGTGCTCAAAGGACACTAGCACAAACGGTAGCAAACCTTGCCGGCCAGGAAGATTTTATTGTGTGTTTTGGTGAAATGATCAACTATGAGTTGCTCCCCTACTGCCAAACTCTTAATTCGGACTAATTCTATCAGGAATTGAACCATCGGAGGGAAACAATCCCCAAAAGCGTCCAGCTTTGGCCAATGGGACGGAGTTGTGTTTCATCAGGGCAACGCCGGGAAGTTAGCATCCATCTGATAATCCACATCTAGGACCAAGTGACCAAATCTATGCATATAGTACTTTGCAACCGCTGAAGCGATTTTCAGCCGAGCTCCTCCTCCAACTTGTGGTTTGTGTCTTAATGTTTTTTCCTATATATGGAGGGACCTATAGTCTGTTCTAAGCAGCCTCCGAATGCCTAATGGATTTTTATTAGAAGCTTTTATTTCATATCAGAGATACACTTCCTGCCGATGGGCGACCGCAATCTGGAAAATTTAATTTTCAATAATTTTGGATGTTGTTCGAACCAGGACTGGAACCCTTCACCTTCAGAATGACAGTACGCAATGGTAAAGACTCAGATACTGCGAACATCCAAACATAATACAATTTTTTTTTAATAAATTGATGCCTGGTCTCTTTCGCAGTATGAAAAACAGAATGGGCGATTGCCATACCCAACCGATAAGTTAGTTGCTGAAGTATCATCAAGAGTTCACGAGTGGTATCTAACGTTGCCATGAAGGCTGTGAAGATGTTGATGCTGAAGCAGTGGACGCTCAAATACTTAAACAACTGAAGAAAAAGTGAAGAAATTCGTATGAAAGGTGGCCGAGTCACATTTGGAGAAGTCGCTCATGATCTTAGTAATCATGTCATGACAAAATTAGGTGCAAATGGAAGTTGCAGGAAAGTTAATGCAGTTGTTTTTGCAGCGGTTCACTAAACCCCCTTGTTAGTACGCGAGACTAGTCCAGAAAATGGTTTGTTAACCTGAGGTGGGAGAGGGTGGTTAGATTAGTTTGTTTTAGGAGGCATGCAAAGAGATAGATAAGGGATGTCATTGTATGCAGAGCATACGTTGGATATGCGAGGATGAAGTCCGGATAGGTCTGAGTTAATCCACTACAGTATCAAAAGTTTCTCGAGGCAGCTCAAGCACTTAATCTGCAATGGGTGGTGTTTTAACTACGAAAACACCATTCACACAGGCAGAGAGTTCTTGAAGGTATTAATGGACTCTCGATAAATTGCGTTCCAAGTCTGTCGGTAAAGTCGTCCTGTTCAGCGGTTCTTGCCTAAAATTGCTTTATGTGATCGTTGTAGTTAAGTACTACCTCTCGGATGTGCCTGTTGGGATAATCCTGACGGTAACAGCATGCCATTATGCTCCCAATTTATCATAAATAATTATCAGGAGATATCCTGTCACGGTGCCAAGTCCGGACTATAAGGTGGGTGCATTAGGACCTCCCATCTGAGTTCCTGGAGCTTCTGGCGCGTCACCAAAGTCGTGTGTGGCCAGGCGTTGTCCTGGTGAGTCAATCAATCGGAAAACTGTCAAAGACAATAACGTCATCTCTTAGATAAAAAGCGAACGAACTTTTTACTTGACCTAATATAAACATATTTTTACTCCAAATATGGCTCTACGTATACTATGTATGCATACTATTGTATACATACATATTACTTTGTGTTTCCCCAGAGAGCACGAGTATCACATCATAAATCCAAGCACTTAAATTGTGGTACAAATCATTTGAGCAGCTGAGTGAGCAAATGACAAGTCCCCACTCGTATCACCCCAACGTTCAGCAAATATGTGTGTACATATGTATGTAAAAAATGTTGGCAGGCAACTGTGAAAACAATCCAAACCAAACTTGTGGTATTACGCAGAAAAAACTTTTTTCGAAGATATGAAAGAAAATTACTTAAGAATTAAGTAACTGTAAGTCCCTCTTCAGCTAATTTTTTTTTTATTTTCAACAAAGTGATTGAGGTTTTAGAAGCTTGAGAGCAGAAAAAATATAATATTCATGAGGAAAACCATGTTTTGCTTCGTATTTGTCTGCAATTCCTGTCTCTCTTAGTTGTAAGCACAGCAAATACTGGACTTTGTATAGTTACTAATAAAAAGTTTTTTTTTTGATTTTTCGTTTTCATAAGAAATTATTATGATTTTCCACGAATTTCGCCATTTGGAAATAGCAAGTGAAACCACGTTGCTCTCCACCTATCGACCGTTGCCATTGCGCAAACAGCCATAAGTCGTAGGCAAAACTTTTCTATCGCAGGTACCCATGGCCGACTTACCTGATTTCGACGTCGTCTATGCGTCATATAGTAGGACGGATAGGATGACTGACTTGAAGAGTTTGGTTTTGGTTCGCTCGGAGTGGGTTTTACTTTTAAAGTGCCTACTCAGTCCAACGTAACACCTGTAGGGGACAGTGATTCGGCGTTGGATTTCCCGTCGTTATTATTGATTCAACGTTATGACTGTTAACAGTGACTTGGGAGCCGAGTCGCGAAGCCCATGACGGTTAGTTTGATGAAAGGAGATATTTCGTCTGATTTTCGTTTGTTACCAAACTCATAGACTTCGCTTCCTTATCCAGTCTGAAGAAAGTAGACGATAATACGTCCATTTTGAAAGACACACTACATACGACCAAGCTGAACATCTCCACTCTTTATTGTGTCTCTAGTTTTAAGAACATTGCTGTACTTTTGTTTCTTTGGACGTTGTTGATTGAAGTTCGTGTAGATTTCTGCGCCAAGTAAGCATAGCCATCGGCTGCCTCTTTATCGCTAGTAAAATCTTTGTAAGTTTGCCTTCCCCTCTTTCGCAAGTGGAACTCGTAGGTTCATTATTATGTCCTGCTCTTAAAGGATTAAATGACGGAGGATATTTTATAGCAAATATACTTCAAAGAGATATTTCTGTGTTCCTGAAAAAAATCTCAGTCGACATCGGTTTCAATTACGACACATCTAATTTCTGCAGGTCTTGTCTTTCATATGGCATGAGACAGAGTTTTAGATTTATTTTCAACAAGATAACTGAAAGTCAGAAATATAGTTTCGACGAAATCTCAATATTGCTTGTACCGAATCGAAACGAGGCGGCTCTCACTTCCAGATCGCTCTTGCCTATGTCATAAAGCCTGGTAAAACTTAGATTTGTAGAACCTCTCTCTAAGGAACATATGGCAGAAATTTGCTACATTATAAATATCT